TCAGACCTAAGCGTTCACATCACATGTTCTCTAAATTTATCAATATCCTATCTTTTTTTTTTTTTTTTTTTTGTATAGGGCAACCCAAAAGCCCAAGAGACAAAAGCAGCAAACAGATACTAGGCAGCAACTGTCACTTCACTCATGTCCTCCAACCTCCTGAAGCTAATCACACTTATTTTCCAAAACATGAGGAAATGTCTGAGGGTTCAAGCTAGGTGGTCACAGTGATTTCAGGCCAATCACTGCAATCACTGAAGGTCTGGGATTCCCAATGCCCCATTTAGGGAGATTTTCTATATCCTGGTGACTGGCATCCAAATCTGTTTTTCCTGTCCTGATTCCTAGCATCATATCTCAATTGCCTACTTGACTTTTCTACCCGTATGTCCCCAACAGAGTTAAAACTCAGAACATTTGCAACCAAATTGATTATCTTCCCGTCAAAATCTTTATATTTAACATAGTATTTGTTTCCCTAAAAAAACAAAACAAACTAACAAACAAAAGCCCAGAAATTTATTGTATCACAGTGTCACAGTTCTGGAGGCTACAAGTCCAGGATGATGGTGCTGACAGTGCACATTTCTTCTGAGGCTTGGAGATGTCTTCTCCCTAGGTCTTCACATGGTCATTCCTCTGTATCTGTCTGTTTCCTATTCTTCTCTTCTTGTAAGGACACCAGCCACATTGAATTTGGGCCCACTCATATGACCTCATTTTACCTTAATGACCACCTTAAAGATCTCTCCAAATGCAGTCACCTTCGCAGGTACTTGGGGTTAGGACATTAACATGTCAATTTGCAGGGATAGAATTTGGCCCATAACAATCTGGATTATTCTTGAGTTTGCATTTTCTAAAGAATAAAATGGAGTAAATCTCTTGGGCTTGACTCTGCCTCTTGACACTGTGAAATTTTGTTCTTGTAATGAGAACAAAAAAAAGGAGAGTCAAAGGTTGGTGTCACCTAGAATGTGAGCCCTCCCTAACTCTGGCTGCCCCAAGACCCAGTGCTGTGTTATTCCTGAAAGTCTTGCTCCATTCTAGTGATTCTGGCTCCAGCTTTTCAACTGGGAATGGATTCTCTCCAAGGGGAAAAACTTCTAATGCTGTGCAGGCTTCTTTTCTTTATATTTGCAGAACAAAAAAAGTTGATGTAATAAAAAGAATGTATGTGTCAAATTTTTGTGGTAATTACTTTTATATCCTTATCAATACCCCATATTGTGATGAATATGTTGGCTTCATTTAGATGGAAGGGACATGAAAATGGACCTTTTGAGCCAGGATTTCTCTGGGCCTTTTCATGGGATTCAATCCCTGCCATGGTGGGTGAGGGGAGAGCTCTTGGTGTAGGGTTTAGTCTTTACAATGAACCATTCTGTTTGGGCAGCAGGTTTAGCTCTGCAAGCTTGAAAGTTATGAGTGTGATCCTCCTCCCCATTCAAAAGGTCAAGGTAGAGCAGGTTCTTGTTCACGGTACAGGGAGTGAGAGAAGGAAAAGTGACAGACAGCATTCTTTCACCATTTTGTGGCATGCACACATCCAAGTCTCTGGTGTTTTAAAGAATTGAAACAGAGACCTAGATCCACTTATCTGTAAGGCAGAACTGTGGAGGAGGGAAGCATATTATCTCCACCACTGGAGAGATCCCTGAAGAGAGATAGCCCCCATTTTACCAAAAATGACACAAACTTTTATCAAAATAAAGTAAACTTGTGGCTTTAGATGATTACCTTATTTAGAGCTTCAACTCCACACCTACTTCCTAAGACATGGTCCTTCCCCAGGATACTATATGTTAGGAACAAATAGTTCCTTTTCAAAAGATTTACCTTTTTGTTCTCTGTTCTCCAAAGCAAGTTCCTTGTCCTTGTACCTCCTCATCCCTTGCTTTCATCACCTGCTTGGTCAACAACTCTTCCCACAAGTCCCAATCTGTAGAAAAATATGCCTCTCCACTTACTTTCTTGTTCCTGACCCTGCAAGTAATCTTTCCTTCCTTTGGCATCTCCAGACATGCCTGGGCATGCTTAAACATGTCTCTCTTCACCACTTTTGTAACCAACCTGTACCTCCCTTACTTGGAAATTGCTAAACAATATCCAAACATGGTCAACTTAGATTGTGCAGTGCAATCCCAGCCAATGGGAAAGGACATAGAAGTAGTGAGTGCATTAGGGATAAAAACCCCTGCTCTCCTTTGTTCAGTGTGCACTCTAAGCAGCCAAGAGTGTGAGTGGCACCATTCTGCAGAAGTAAATTTGCCTTGCTGAGAAATCTTCATTTAAGTGCTTATTTTCTTTATGACTCTGAGGAATTGTTTCCAACATATAAAATCACAGGACTTCAACTTGAGCAGTAAGGCATGATGGTGTTATTACTTTCTGACAGATGGGATGTTATAGATTGCATGTATTTTCCAAAGATGGCTGCAAAAATATGTTTCATCACACTTTGTTTTTATAGTTTGACCCACCACTCCCTCTTCAAGAGGTAAGGTCTCTCTACCCCCTTAAACATGAGTAGATCTGATATCTGCATTACCCAACAAAATATGGCAGAAGCCTGGTTGTGCCAGTTCTGGACACTGGTATTAACCATCTGGCTTCTATCTGTTTCCCTCCACTTCAATCCCTGAACCATGTAAAACTCCCAGGCCATCATCTGAGTCCAGCCAACACATAGGCCCCTATGAGAGATCATAAAGAATTCTTAGTTAATATTTTCATGAATATCTTTTTCTATCCTTCCAATTTCAACTTCTGTGTGTCTTTAGAGTCACAGTGAGTATCTTGTAGTGAGGATATGGTTAGATTCTTTTTATTCTATCCATTGTGATAACCTCTGAGCTCTGATTGGGGAGTTTAATCATTTTATATTTAAAGTAATTACTGATAAGGAAGGACTTATTTATGTAATTGTGATATTGGTTTTATGCATGTCTTGTAGCTGTTTCATACCTCATCTCCTTAGTTCCAACCTTCCTTTGTGTTTAGTCAATTTTTTTCTAGTGGCATGTTTTTATTGCTTTCTCATTTTCTTTTGTGTACAGTTTATGTATATTTTCTTTGTCATTACTATGATATTGTATATAACAATACAGTTATACAGTCTTGAATTGAAATTAACATAAAAACTCTGCTTTTTTACATCTTTTTCCACCCCTCATTTTACATTATTGATGCCACAAATTACACCTTAGCAGGCTGGCAGGCTGGAAAGTCACAATGTTGCAGTATTCAGTCTAAAATTTGTATACCAGCTTGGCAGACTGGAAACCTAAACTGTAGTTGCTGCTATCACCTTGAGGCAGAATTTTTTCTTTTCTGGGAAGCCTCACAATTTGCCCAGGCAAATTGTGAGATTCAAAAAGTCTCACTCACATTTTTTAGGGTGATTTCCTTTTTATAAAATCAACTGACATCAGCTTTTAATCACAACTGCAAAACACCATCATTGCAACATATAAATTTAGTATTTGATTAAATAACTAGGCACTATGGTTTTGTGAAATTAACACATAAGAGCCATTATCCCAGTCCATGCTTGTGAACTTGGCATCCATTAATGTTTTCTTAAACCATAGTTAGTCTCCAAATAAAAACAACCGTAAAGTCACATGTTTGCCAAAGATTATACAACTATCTTCTATCCAACTAAAAACACACTGACCCTTTCCTCAGAAAAAGATTTAAACTGAATGCATGATAGGTACTCTTCTCTTTGATATACTGTAACCTAAATACCACATTTAATAAAAGGTAAACCATCATTAATAAAAGGGAACTCTCGTTATCACATTTTATGCTTATTACAAGATGATAAGGAAAATATGAAAACAAAGGTATTTCCTTAATGTATGTATGGATACATACACACAGACATAAATATCATTATATAAACATTAGAAAGGGAGGATCCAAGATGGCCAAATAGGAACAGCTCCATAGTGCAGTTCCCAGCAAGAACAATGCAGAGGGTGAGTCCCCACTGCATTTCCAGAAAAATTTTCACAGCCCACACACCAGGAGATTCCCAGGCCAAAAAGCGCCACAGGTTTTCAGCATGATGGTTTCAGCTGGTGCTGGGTTGGCACATAGAAACACACAAATCTGGACAGCCATTTCAACTGGTGTCTGGAATGCCTGGGAGAGAGAGCCGCCCATTCAACTGAAAGGGAGGGGGCAGAGACAGGGAGCCAGGCAATCTGGCTCAGCAGGTAACACCCCCACAAAACAAGCAATCTGAAGTGCTTTGGATGGAGAATTTCACAGCAAGTGCAGCTGGAGCTGGGACAGTCCAGCTCAGTGGGGGGAAGGGTGACCACCACTACCTAGGCAGTCTGCCACTACCGAGGCACTTCACACAGCAGCTGGGCAGAGCCTGCAGCAGCTCAGCAATGCCTCTGCTGGCAGACTGTGACCAGACTACTCTGTGCGGGGCAGGGCATCTATGAAAAAAGGCAGCAGCATGACAGGAACTTATAAATAAAGCCGAACTTCCTAGGACAGAGCACCTGGGAAAAGAGGTGGTTATGAGTTCTGCTACAGCAGACTTAAAAGTACCTGCCCAGCATCTCTTCACTGAACAGTGGAGCTGCCATCACAGCACTTGAGCTCCTATAAGGGACAGACTGTCTCCTCAAGCAGCTCCCTGACCCCCATATTCCCAGAGACACCTCATAAAGGAGAGCTCAGGCTGACACCTGGCAGGTACCCTTCTGGGATGAAGATAACAGAAGAAGAAACTGGCAGCAACCCTTACTGTTCTGCAGCCCCTGTGGGTTATCCCCAGGCAAGCAGGGTCTGGAGTCGACCTCCAGCAGTCCTTCAACAAAGGGTCCTGACTGTTAGAAGGAAAACTAAGAAACAGAAAGAAATAACTTCATCATCAACAAAAAGAGCATCCACTCAGAGACCCCATCTGAAAGTCACCAACTACAAAGACCACAGAGAGATAAAGCCACTAAGATGGGAGGTGCTGTAATTGCTGCCCAGAGAGAAGGAGGTTGGCAGTGCGAGGAGCTGCTATGGTGCTCAGTTCCCTGGCAGAGCTGGCTGAGCCGAGGTGGTTGCAGCCATGAAGGTGTGGGAGTGGTGCTAAGGATCAAGTATACTGTTTTAAAAAAGAAAACAAAACCTAAGCATAAGGAAGGCGGGTGCCACGTCTATGTGGGCTTCGTGCTGTAGGCTGCTGAATGAAGTCATGGGAACTGGAGCTGTCAGGGGCCAGCAGTCAGGATTTGCAGGAGCCACCAGTCCATTCAGATTTACACCAAACCCTGATTTTTCCACCTACCCTCCAGCAGCTACGGAAGGGCCCAACATAGTTTGCAAAGCCTGTGGATTTTCATTTTCAGTCTTTAGAAAGAAGGTACAAAGTGAAATCACTTCAGCAAACACAGATGATGATGATGACGATGATGAGGATGACAATGAAGAAGAAGAAAATGTGGATGATCAGACCACTGGGCTCTCCAAGGAGAGCCTGAGAGCTTCGCTGTCTGACTTGTCAAGTCTTAATGATGTGGAAGGGTTGAGCATGCGTCAGCTGAAGGAAATTCTGGCTCAGAATTTTGTCAACTATTCTGGCTGTTGTGAAAAATGGGAACTGGTAGAGAAACTAAACCGGTTATACAAAGAGAATGAAGAAAATCAAAAATCCTATGGTGAGTGGCTGCAGCTGCAAGATGAAGAAGACGACAGCCTGTGTCACATCTGCATGGATGCCATCATTGACTGTGTCCTGCTGGAGTGCGGGCACGTGGTTACCTGCACCAAGTGTGGCAAGCGCATGAGTGAGTGTCCCATCTACTGGCAGTATGTGATGCGAGCTGTGCACGCATTCAAATCCTAAAACTAAGGCTCCCCTCAACAGGACAATCACCCCCAAACTTGACCCCAAACATTTCAATGCACAGAAGAAACTAAAAAGTTACTGTTCAAAGGCTGAAGCTATTTTTAAAAATTATTTTCACTACTAAGTGGGGACAGAAAGATCAATACTGAGTTGTGAAAACCTTGGTCCATGCCATGATCCTGTCTGCCTGTGGACATATGAGCTTCCCAGACTCAGCTGGACTTTATCACACAACCCATGAACACTCATTGAAGTCAGCCTGTTTGTGCCATGTGGGCATCAGCTACTGCTGTCTTTGAAGGACAGTTTTCCTGTTCTCTTATTTCTCCTTCATCCTATTTTTTAACTTAAACTGCTCAGATGTTTGAAACCTTTGTCCTCTTTGGATGAGATAAGCGTCCACAAGTGGACGACATGGAATATGCTGAGCAGGGGCTCTTCTGAATGTTCACTTTATTAGTCATGTATATTTTAAAAGTTAACATTTGATGAATGAAAGTTTCTACATTGTTGCTGTTTCTGCATTTAAACATAATTGGGAACAACTGACATTCTATAGTCGACTGCCAGGGCCTTAAACTACACATGTCCATTTTTGTTCAGGTATAACTTTTTATAGCAAGGGCTGCAACTAGGTTCTTTTATTAGAAGTGTGTGTGCTAAATTCTTTATTAATGTGTAATCAGTTTACACTGTTTTGTATAGTGAAGGTGTATTTTCAGTGCTACCTGCTAGCTGATTTTTAACTTCAGGAATAAAATTAGTTTTAAAAGCAAAAAAAAAAAAAAAAAAAAAAGAAAAAAAAAACCACTAAGATGGGAAGAAACCAGTGCAAAAATGATGAAATCACCAAAATCCAGAATGCCTCTCCTCCTCCAAAGGATCAAAAGTCCTCACCAGCTAGGGATCAAAGATGGATAGAGAATCAATAAATCTGATAAATTGATGGAAATAAGCTTCAGAAAGTGGGTAATAACAAACTTCTCAGAGCTAAAAGAACATGTTCTAACCCAATGCAAAGAAACTAAGAACCTAGAAAAAAGATTAGATGAGATGCTAACTAGAATAAACAGCTTAGAGAAGAATATAAATGACTTGATGGAGTTGAAAAACACAGCATGAGAACTTCGTGAAGCATACACAAGTTTCACAGCAGAATTGACCAAGCAGAAGAAAAGATATCAGAGATTGAAGATCGATGCAATGAAATAAAACAAAAAGGCAAGAAAAGAAAAAAAAAGAGTGAAAGAAATGAACAAAGTCTCCAAGAAATAAGGAATTATGTGAAAAGACCTAATCTACATTTTATAGGTGTACCTGAATGTGACAGAGAGAATGAATCCAAGCTGGAAAACACTCTTCAGGAAATTATCCAGGAGAACTTCCCCAACCTAGCAAGCCAGTCCACCATTCAAGTCCAGGAAATACAGAGAACGCCACAAAGATACTCCTTAAGAACAGCAACCCCAAGGCACATAATCGTCAGATTCACCAGGGTTGACATGAAGAAAAAAATGCTAAGCGCAGCCAGAAAGAAAGATAGGGTTACCCACAAAGGGAAGCCATTCAGACTCACAGCGGATCTCTCAGAAACCCTACAAGCCAGAAGATAGTGGGGGCCAATATTCAACATCCTTAAAAAAAAGAACTTTCAACCCAGAATTTCATATCCAGCCGAAATAAGCTTCATAAGCAAAGGAGAAAGAAAATCCTTTATGGACAAGCAATTGCTGAGAGATTTTGTCTCCACCAGGCCTGACTTACAAGAGCTCCTAAAAGAAGCGCTAAACAAGGAAAGGAACAACCAGTACCAGTCACTCCAAAAATGTACCAAATGGTAAAGATCATCGACACAATGAAAAAAAAAAATGCATCAACTAATGGGCAAAACAACCAGCTAGCATCAAAATGGCAGGATCAAATTCATACATCACAACATTAACCTTAAATGTAAATAGGCTAAATGCCCCAATCAAAAGACACAGACTGGAAAATTTGATAAAAAGTCAAGACCCATCGATGTGCTGTATCCAGGAAACCCATCTCATGTGCAAGGACACACATAGGCTCAAAGCGAAGAGATGGAGGAATATTTATCAAGCAAATGGAGAGCAAAAAAAAGCAGGAGTTGCAATCCTAGTCTCTGATAAAATGGCTTTAAACCAACAAAGATCAAAAGAGACAAAGAAGGGCATTACATAATGCTAAAAGGATCAATACATCAAGAAGAAATAATGATCCTAAACATATAGGCACTCAATACAGGAGCACCCATGTACATAAAGCAAGTTATTAATAACCTACAAAGAGACTTAGACTCCCACACAATAATAGTGGGAGACTTTAAAACTCCACTGTCAATATTAGACAGATCAACGAGACAGAAAATTAACAAGGATATACAGGACTTGAACTCAGATCTGGACTAAGTGGACCTAATAGACATTTACAGAACTCTCCACCCCAAATCCACAGAATATACATTCTTCTCAGCACTGCATCACACCTACTCTAAAATTGACCACATAATTGGAAGTAAATCACTCATCAGCAAATGCAAAAGAATGGAAATCATAACAAACGGTCTCTCAGACCACAGGGCAATCAAACTAGAACTCAGAATTAAGAAACTAACTCAGAACTGCACAGCTTCATTGAAACTGAACAACTGGCTCCTGAATGTTGACTGGATAAACAATGAAATGAAGGCAGAAATAAAGATGTTCTTTGAAACCAACAATAACAAAGACACAACATACTGGAATCTCTGGGACACATTTAAAGCAGTGTCTGGAGGGAAATTTATAGCAATAAATGCCCACATGAGAAGTGAAGAAAGATCTAAAATTGACACCCTACCATCAAAATTGAAAGAGCTAGAGGAGCAAGATCAAAAAAACTCAAAAGCCAGCAGAAGACAAGAAATAACTAAGATCAGAGCAGAGCTGAAGGAGATAGAGACACAAAAAAACCCTTCAAAAAAATCAGTAAATGCAGGAGCTGGTTTTTTGGAAAGGTCAACAAAATACACAGACCACTAGTCAGATTAATAAAAAAGAAGAGAGAAGAATCAAATAGATGCAATAAAAAACAATAAAGGGGATATCACCACTGATTCCACAGAAATGCAAACTACAATCAGAGATTACTACAAACAACTCTATGCATGTAAACCAGGAAACCTGGAAGAAATGGATAAATTCCTGGACACTTGCCTCCTCCCAAGCCTAAACCAGGAAGAAGTTGAAACCTTGAATAGACCAATAACAAGGGCTGAAGTTGAGGCAGCAATGGCCTACCAAATAAAAAAAGTCCAGGTTGAGATGGGTTCACAGCTGAATTCTACCAAACATACGAAGAGGAGCTGGTCCCATTCCTTATGAAACTCTTCCAAACAATCCAAAAATAGATAATCCTTCCCAAATCATTTTATGAGACCAATATCATCCTGATACCAAAACCCGACAGAGACTCAACAAAAAAGGAAAACTTCAGGTCAATATCCATGATGAACATAGATGCAAAAATATTCAATAAAATACTAGCAAACAGACTGCAACAGCACGTAAAAAAGTTTATCCATTGCGATCAAGTAGGCTTCATTCTGGGGATGCAAAGCAGGTTCAACATATGCAAGTCTATAAATGTAATCTATCACATAAACAGAACCAAAGACAAAAACCACGTGATTATCTCAATAGATGCAGAGGAGGCCTTCGAAAAAATTCAACAATGCTTTATGCTAAAAACTCTCAATAAACTAGGTATTGATGGAATGTACCTGAAAATGACAAAAGCTATTTATGACAAACCCACAGCCAATATAATACTGAATGGGCAAAAACTGCAAGCATTCTCTTTGAAATCTGGCACTAGACAAGGATGCACTCTCTCACCACTCCTATTCAAGGTAGTATTGGAAGTTCTAGCCATAGCAATTAGGCAAGAAAAAGAAATAAAGGGTGTTTGATTAGGAAAAGAGGAAGTCAAATTGTCTCTATTTGCAGATGACATACTTGTATATTTAGAAGAACCTATCATCTCAGCCCAAAATTTCCTTAAACTGATAAGCAACTTCAGCAAAGTCTCAGGATACAAAATCAATGTTCAGAAATCACAGGCATTTCTATGCACTAACAACAGACTAACAGAGAGCCAAATCACGAGCAAACTCCCATAAACAATTACTACAAAGAGAATAAAATACCTAAAAATACAACTAACAAAAGATGTAAAGGACCTCATAAAGGAGAACTACAAGCCACTGCTCAACGAAATAAGAGAGGACACAAACAGATGGAAAAACATTCCATGCTCATGGTTAGGAAGAATCAACATTGTGAAAATGGCCACACTGCCCAAAGTAATTTGTGGATTCAACACTATCCCCATCAAGCTACCAATGACTTTCTTCACAGAACTGGAAAAAACCACCATAAACTTCATATGGAACCAAAAGAGAGCCTGCATAGCCACGACAATCCTATGCAAAAAGAACAAAGCCAAAGTCATCATGCTACCTGATTTCAGACTATACTACAAGGCTACAGTAATCAAAACAGCAGGGTACTGGTACCAAAACAGAGATATAGACCAATGGAACAGAACAAAGGCTCTGTAGGCAATGCCACACATCTACAACCATCTGATCTTTGACAAACTTGACAAAAATAAGCAATGGGGAAAGGATTTCCTGTTCAATAAATGGTGTTGGGAAAACTGGCTAGCCATGTGCAGAAAGCAGAAACTGGACCCCTTCCTGACATCTTACACTAAAATTAACGCCAGATGGATTAAAGACTTAAACATAAGACCTAACACCATAAAAACCCTAGAAGAAAACCTAGGCAAAACCATTCAGGACATAGGCATAGGCAAGGACTTCATGACTAAAACACCAAAAGCATTGGCAACAAAAACCAAAAAGAGAAATGGGACCTAACTAAATTCCACAGCTTCTGTACAGCAAAAGAAACAATCACTAGAGTGAACCAGCAACCAACAGAATGGGAAAAACTTTTTATAATCTACCCATCTGACAAAAGGCTACTATCCAGAATCTACAAAAAAAAAAAAACAAAAACAGATTTACAAGGAAACAAACCCATCCAAAAGTGGGAGAAGGATATGAACAGACACTTTTCAAAAGAAGACATATATGAGGCCAAGAAACATATGAAAAAATATTCATCATCACTGATTATTAGAGAAATGCAAATCAAAACCACACTGAGATCCCACCTCATGCCAGTTAGAATGGCAATCGTTAAAAAATCTGGAGACAACAGATGCTGGAAAGGATGTGAAGAAATAGGAACACTTTTACACTGTTGGTGGGAGTGTAAACTAGTTCAACTATTGTGAAAGACAGTGTGGCGCTTCCTCAAGGGCCTAGAAATAGAAATTTCATTTGACCCAGCAATCCCATTACTGGGTACATACCCAAAGAATTATAAATCATTCTATTATAAAGACACATGAACACATATGTTCATAGTGGCACTGTTTACAATAGCAAAGACCTGAAACCAACCCAAATGCCCATCAATGATAGACTGAACAAGGAAAATGTGGCACATATACACTATGAAATACTATGCAGCCATAAAAAATGATGAGTTTGTGTCCTTTGTAGGGACATGGATGAATATGGAAACCATCATTCTCGGCAAACTGACACAAGAACAAAAAATCAAACACTGCATGTTCTCATTCATAGGCAGTGTTAAACAATGAGAACACATGGACACAGGGAGGGGAACATCACACACTGGGGTTTGTTGGTAGGGCCAAGGGAGGGAGGTTTTGGGGGGATAATATGGGGAGTAATGCCAGATATAGGTGACAGGGGGATGGAGGCGGCAAACCACATTGCCGTGTGTTTACCTATGCAACAGTCCTGCATGATCTGCACATGTACCCCAGAATCAAAAGTACAATAAAAAAAATTTTAAGTAACTAAATGTATTCATTAGGAATAAATATGAATGTAAATAACAAAAAAAAATCAGAAAGTAATACTCATAACATTTACCATCTATATTCCTGTAACTGGTCACATTGCTACAGCTGGTTACTTATTTATTTATTTATTTGAAACAGATTGTTGTTCCGTTGCCCAGGCTGGAGTGAGTGCAGTGGCATACCTTGGCTCACTGCAACCTCCACCTCCTGGGCACAAGTGATCCTCCTACCTCAACCTCCTAAGTAACTGGGACTACAAGCACACTACCATGCCTGACTAAGTTTTTGTATTTACTTTCACTAAAGATGTAGTTTCAGCATGTTGCCCAGGTTGGCCTCACATTCCTAGACTTAAGCAATCCACTCTCCTCAGCTTCCAAAGTGCTGAGATTACAGTCATGAGCTACTGTGCTGGCCATGACTAGTATTTATAAATACTTTTTTTTTCTTAGCTGACCATCCTATATTCCCATTGTCTTCAGCAATCAGGTTTCTTTTCCTGCTTGAGTGACTCAAACCTTCATTCCTGAAGTTTATGGGTCATTAGTAGTCCTATCTGACTTGGGCTGTTATAGTTTATATTGACTTTAATTATAGGGCAGAGTATTACTAAGAGATGCTCTAAGAGATCTTCTATGTTCCAGACATAGTCTTACTTATTGCCACTATGTAGTAGCAGACCAACTTCCCCCCTGATGACCAAAGCCATTCACCCTGACAGTGCAGTAATTCCTTCCTTTGTTTGCTGATTCAGAATCATAAGGAACTGAAGGTGTCTTAGTTTCCAGCTCAATGGAATCATTTCTGTGTCTCCTGAGGGAGCATTCCTCCTTTTGGTACACTTCTAGATTCTGGTCCTGTTCCTCCTGACTGGGCAGGACCTCCCAACCAGGGTCTCCAGCACCTCCTACAGGTGTGTTCAGGCTGGCAACAGGTCTGTACTTTTCTGGAACAGACCTCTCAGAGGAAGAAGCAGACTGCCATCTTTGCTGTTATGTAGCCTTCACTGATGATACCTCCAGGTACTGGAAAATCTGAGGCAACTAGGGACTGGAGAAGGCGCCCAGCAAACTGCATCAGCCCTACAGAAAAATGGGCAGACTGTTAAAAGAGAGAACAAAAGAAGAGAAAAACAGAACCCATTCAAAGGTCAACAACTTCAAAGATTGAAGGTAGATAAGCCCACAAAGTTGATACGGAATCAGCAAGGAATGTTGAAAACTCAAAAACCCAGCAAGGGTTTGGAACCAGGCTAAGGTTGAGATGGTTGAAACAACAGAAGTGGAATTCAGAATACAGAAAGGAATGAAGCTCACTGTGCTAAAGAAGTGCACTGTAACCCAATGCAAGGAAGCTAAAAATCATTATAAAACATTGCAGGAGCTGACAGACAAAATAACCAGTATAAAGAAGAACATGACCAACCTGACAGAGCTGAAAAACACACTACAAGAATTTCATAGTGCACTCACAAGTATTAATAGCAGCATAGAGCAGGTGGAGAAAAGAACCTCAGCACTTGAACACTGGCTTTCTGAAATACGACAGGAAGCCAAGAATAGAGAAAAAAGAAGAAAAAGGAATGAATAAAATTTCTAAAAAGTGTGGGATTATGTAAAGAAACCAAACCTAAGAAAAATTGGTGTATCTGAAAGAGATGGAGACAATGGAACCAATTTGGAAAACATTTCAGGATAACATCCATGAGAACTTCCCCAGCATAGCTAGAAAGGCCAACATTGAAATTCAGAAATGCAGAGGACGCCAGTAAGTTGCTTCATGAGAAGATCATCTCCAAGACACATATTCATCAGATTCTCCAAGATTGAAATGAAAGAAAAAAATATCAAGAACATCCAGAGAGAAAGGCCAGATCACCTATAAAGGGAAGCCCATCAGACTAACAGTTGATCCCTCAGTGGAAATCCTACAAGCAGAAGAGACTGAGGGCCAATATGCAACAGTCTTAAAGAAAAGAATTTCCAAGCCAGAATTTGATATCCGACGAAACTAAGCTTCATAAGCAAAGGAGAAATAAGATTCTTTTCAGAAAAACAAATGCCAAGGGAATTCATTACTACCAGACCTCCATTACAAGAACTCCTGAAGGAAGCACTAAATATGGAAAGGAAAATCAGTTACCAGCCACCACAAAAACACACTCAAGTATACGGACTAGTGACACAATCAAGCAACCACATAAGCAAGTCTGCAAAGTAACCAGCTAATATCATGATGAAACAATCAAATCCATACATATCAGTATTAACCTTAAATGTAAATGGGCTAAATGCCCCATTTAAAAGACATAAAGTAGCAAGCTGGATAAAGAAACAAGATCTATCAGTATGCTGTCTTCAATATACCCCAAACATGCAATGACGTACATAGGCTCAAAAAAAAAAAAAAAAAAAAGATGGAGGAAAATTCACCAAGCAAATGGAAAGCAGGAAAAAAGGCAGGGTTTTAATCCTAGTTTCAGACAAAACAGGTGTTAAACCAACAAAGATCAGAAAAGACAAAGAAGAGTATTACATAATGGTAAAGGGTTAAATTCAACAAGGAGATCTATCTATCCTAAAAATATATGCATCCAATACAGGAACACCCAGATTCATAAGGCAGGTTCCTAGAGACCTTCAAAGATACTTGAAACCTCACACAATGATAGTAGAAGACTTTAATACTCCACTGAAAATATTAGACAGATCATGAAGACAGAAAATTAACAAAGATATTCAGGACATGAACTCAGCCCTGGATCAAATCGCCCTGATAAATATCTACAGAACTCTTTACCCCAAAACAACAGAATATACATTTTACTCATTGCCACATGGCACTTACTCTAAAGTGGATCATACAGTTGGAAGTAAAACACTCCTCTTCAAATGCAAAAGAATTAAAATCATAACAAACATTCTCTTGGACCACAGTGCATTCAAATTCAAAATAAAGATTAAGAAAATCACTCAAACCATACAATTACATAGAAATGGAATAACTTGTTCTTGAACGGCTTTTGGGTAAATAATGAAACTGAAGTACAAATTAAGAAGTTCTTTGAAGGTAATGAGAACAAAGATGCAACGTACCAAAATCTCTGGGAAACAGCTAAGGCAGTGTTAAGAGGAAAATTTATGGCATTAAATGTTCGCATCAAAAAGTTAGAAAGATTTCAAGTTAACAACCTGAAATCACAACCAGAAGAACTTGAGAACAAACAGCAAACATATCCCGAAGGTAGAAGGCAAGAAATAACCAAAAAAATTAACTAAGATATTGTCTCCTGAAGGAGACAGAGAAGTGAAAAATCACTTAAAAGATCAACAAATTCAGGAGGTTTTTTAAAATTAATAAACTAAATAGAGCCCTAGCTAGGCTAATAAGGAGGAAAAGAGAGAAGATTCCAATAAATACAATTAGAAACAATAAGAGGAACATTATAATTGACCCCACAGAAACACAAGCAACCACCAGAAAATATTATGAACACCTCTACACACATAAACTAGAAAATCTAGAATACAAGGATCAACTCCTGGACACATACGCCAGCCCACCACACTGAACAAGAAAGAAATTGAATCCCCAAACAGACTAATAATGAGTTCTGAAATTGAGACAGTAATAAACAGCCTACCAACCAATAAAAGCCCAGGACAAGATGATTGACAGGTGAATTCTATTAGATGTACAAAAAAGAGCTGATACCATTCCCACTGAAACTATTTCAAAAAAATGTGGAGGAGAGACTCCTCTTCAACTCATTCTGTTAGGCCAGCATCATCCTGATGCCAAAATGTGGCAGAGGTACAACAACAACAGTAAAAATAACTTCAGGCCAACATTCTTGATGAACACTGATGCAAAAATTTCCAACAAAAGGCTAGCTAGCTGAATCCAGCAGCACATCAAAAAGCTTTATCCAACGCAGTCAAGTAGGTTTCATCTCCAGCATGCAAGTTTGGTTCAAAATATGTAAATCAATAAATGTGCTTCATTACATAAAGAGAACTAAAGATAAAAACCACATGGTTGTCTCAGTAGACACAGAAAAAGCTTTTGATAAAATTCAACATCTAATCATGTTTTT